TCCGCGCAAGTAGCAAACGATGGAAAACTAGTCACTTTCACTTTCGTTGAAGCAACAACGATCAGGCGGAAGTTAAGTCGCTCTAAGCGTACAGATTAGTGTATCGGCAGATAGTAATTATTCCTTATTTAATATCGCTCCTCGGTGTCGACATGGGATGTAATTATCGTTAAGCTACTCGATTGTAGAGCTCGTATATTCGAAGAATTCCTTTACCGTCCTTACGTTAAGTGTCTAAAACTATCATTTCCTGCGTGTATACAGGGTGTATCTGCAACAATGCTCTGAACTTTAGGAGCGTATTCTAGAGGTCAAAATAAGACTTTTTCTCCCCTACGAACATGGGTCCGCAAATGAACCTCCTCCGAGCTAATTGTGAAGTGAAGTAAGCCACTGAAATGAAAAGGCTAGCAACGTATATCGCGAAAACATTAATTCGCCAAGCTGGCGGTTTCGAAGACTCAGTTTTTTAAATGACTTTACTGTTATCTACTAAAAAATGCCTTGCGTGTTCCGAATTTGTTCACGCAGAATGCTAATGTTATTTTGACGTTACCTGTCACGCTATCTTGAGAGATAAATAAATTTGCGTTGCGGGTGTTCGGTCGAATTTTAGCTCGGAGGTCTATTTGCGGACCCCATGTTCATACACTGAGAAAATAGGATATAGGATAAATTTCATCGGATGTATCCATAATTTAATCGGAAAAATTAACCACCGGAAACACTATTTAATTGCTTCGTCGGACGACAATTTTTCTCAGTGTAGGGAAAAAAAGTCTTATTTTGACCTTCAGAATACGCTCCTAAAGTTTACAGCATTTCAGATACACCCTGTATATATGTTTATATATATATATATATATATGTACACAAAACCGCGCCCGTAAATTAACCGTTCAATTAACTTTATCGATCGTATATTGTATGCGTCTCGTTTACGTTGCGAAGAATTTCGCATTTCGTTCTAGGCAGAAATGAAATTCGGCGTTGTTACATCACCGCTGGTATAAATTGTGATATTATTCGAGAGGGCTGTTGTGTTCGATCATTGGTGGTTCACAAATGAATTTCGCTCGCGGACCTGGACTTTAGGGAGGATATATGATTATGTAAAATATCGTTAACACTGTACGCGATTCACGTAAGCTATAAATACCGATCGTCTGCTTTGTAAAGCGTGTCACATCGCGTTTACTATCTTGCGAATTCGTAAAATTAATTGAATCTGTATCGGAAAAAAACCGATGTCGGATCGTGAATCCACGACGAGCGTCGAATAATATCAAGTGGCGACGGTGGCTCGTGAATCCACGATCGACTGGCGAAGTTATGATTTAAATAAAGCAAATAGACCAACTTTTAAGACCAGAATAAAAGAATAGTTATCACGTAGATAGATTAATACTGTATAGACTGAGGTATATCGCGAGAGTAGTATTTTGACATTCGTGATAGTTCGTGCGTCTCGCCAAAAAAAAAGAAGAAGAAGAAGGATGAAGGAAAAACAGTTTAGGTTCTCTTCCGTTCGGACATTCACGACTTCCCCTCCTTTCCTTCCTCGAGATCGTTGATTTTTGTGAAGCCGTCACGAGGTGTTGATTACGTTCGCTGGAAAATAAAGTTCTCGGACAGTTTATCTTTTTTATGACTCACACGATAGATGGCTCGCTAAAATATATTTAAAAATAAAGTTTAATAAATATTTCAGAATGGAAAAGAGAGGACTCGCTGTTATTTCTCCGCTCCCAGCGCGATTCAGGGGTAGGTTTTTTTTTAATTTTTCCCCCCTCGCAAGTATCCGCCAGGAGTGACCGCCGGCGAGATCGCGAGATTTATTCCCGCGCGTCCAACTCTCTTTTACAACGGCAAATAATAAACGCGTTACGTAAACGGGCGCGCTGTTTTCTTTTTTGAGGAAAATAATAATCCCGGAGACCGCAAAAAATACATCAGAGCGGATGCTTAGGGAACGTCAGAACTTTCCCGCGCCATTACTCATACCGAATTTATGTAAAAGCGCCTGTACGTGCTCGCAACGCGGCGAGGAATATCCCAGCCCGGCAAAATCCAGCCTCGCCGTGTTCGCTCTTTGACGTCACGCCGCGCTTACGCGCGCACAACAGATCGACGGGCTGCACCGCATAATTCAGCATGTAAAGCCGACGATGACTTGTGTCGTTTCGGAGCGAGAATTCCTGTCGCCCCGTGTTCCGCGCCGAGGGCGCAAAAATAACCCGTTCGCGAGGACCTTATCGCGTAAATCCAGCGTTTAACACCAGCGAACGAATTTACTGTGAATAATAAGCGGCATGGAACATAAACAGGCGGCGATTTTAATCTCTTCGCGTTCAATTTAAATTTTCTTAAAATACATCCTCCGCGAGGTGAATGTTATAACGTAAAATAATTGAGTCCCCTTCCGAGTAAAACCGACGCGTTGCCACTTGTTACGTAAGTTGCATTCGCTTCCTCGAGATTATTAGCAGCGCTCGCTTTACGCGATGTTCGACTGTGGCTTCTTGATTTAGGCCTCGGTGATTAGGCTCGCGTGATCCTGTCCATTTGCGGGATGTTACGTGTTTCTTGATACGCGAGTTTACCTTTAACGACACATATTTCCAGATGAACTCGGAGTTGATTTCTTCCTCGTCGAAGATGTCGAGGCACCAGTGGTTTTCGACTTGGGAATGATTGATGAAGGTGCTTCTTGCCGAGCTAAACTTTGCAAACGGATAAAATCTGTTTGTCGTTACAGGGGAACGTATTATATATGCGGAAATATCCATTTTCGATCTTGATGGATTTCAAGCACACAAAATATTTGTGTAGCTGACAATAAGAGACACGTGTTTCTTTTCTCGTGCGTTTAGGAATTGAAAGCCATTGAAAGTCCCTTAAAGGTAACGCAGTATTACATCTGATTCCGACCGTCGACGCTGTGAGATACAAATATTTTAGACAGAGATTTTACAGTCTTTAATGTATCTTTTAATCATTCAAGTCTTCGAAATGTCTCGTGTTAATATTAAACGTCGTATTTCTCATTGCGTTTTCCACAATCTTTGAAAAGATTAAACATCCAAGTGCGTTTTAGGTGATTAAACGATTAAAGTGTTTATTTGTTGAGATAATCTTATCGGGAGATTTCCCTTGTAAAGAGCTTTTGTGCAATTATATCATTTTGCTTGTGAGACGTAGTCTTGGTAAAACCATATGTCTGCTCGTTTTGAAGAAAATATCGTATTCCGTTTCTCGTAGGAAATATCGAAAATCCCGAACAATGTTGAAGTCAAGGAGATAAACCCGTGAGATTCGACCATGACACGTTTGGATAATCATTTAAGTCTTCTCTCGCAATGCCTCATATTAATATTAAACGTCGTATTTCTCATTACATTTCTCACAATCTTCGTAAATTCCAAAAGATCAAAGTGCATTTTAGATGATTAAACGATTAAAGTGTATTTTTATTGAGATATTCTTAAAAAGAGCTTTCGTTATTATCATTTTATTGACGTAACTTGGTAAAAACATATGTCCACTTGTTATGAAAAAAATATTATCGTATTCCGTTCCTCGTAGGAAATATCGGAAATCCCGAATAATGTTGAACTCGAGAAGATAAACCCATGAGATTCGACCATGACACGTTTGGATATCTTGCAAAGATAGAGAAGCAGGAAAGTGTTATCTCGCAGCTGGGGAAAAAGCTAGTATTGGCGTGACGCGAATAACACGGTAATTTAATTCTCTAAAACGCGATTTTGCGAAATAACATTGTTTACACGCGCAAATTTACATTACATATTTTAATAACGCGTAAAATAATGTGCATCTTTGCAAAAACTGAATCGATGCTAAAGACTTAAACATTTCGAAGAAACTGAATGGTCGTCGCGTACATGAAACTTCTAATTAAAATAGTTTTCCATTTAAATTAATTCGAGCTAAAAATCTATATCGAAACTTCAAAGGATTTTTGAAACTTTTGAATATACATTTAATAAAAAAAACCTATTTGGGTTTTATTTCTAGCTGTTACATAGCACACCTGAATGTCTACTTGCTAATTAATTTCAAAAATATTTGGCTTTACTGTTTTTGCTACAACACTTTTGTCGAGAGTTTAATTACGAAAACATGTTGAAAATCGAAAGCCGCGATAAACAGTGACTTCTGACATTTCCGTTGAATAAAAATCAATTCTAGATTGGTCGGAGAATCAAAGTCGCAAGTTGTGGAACGCTATATTTAGGACTAATAAAAAATATATCCTGGCGTATTATAGTCCTGACAAGTCCTAGTAAGCACGACAACGCACATTTAGTTTTTCTCTCACGCAATCGAGTCGCGTTTACGTGTTATTATTGTCTTAAGCTTTCAGGTGTGTCGGATGTGAAGTCGTTTGCGTGAGGCAATTTCACTACTTTTCGTAAAACATTAACTTGTTTTCCCTCCATGTAGGCCCATTCATCTTTAATCCAAGGTATCAGAAATAATCGTGTGCATGTTTCAAGAACTATATATAAACTATATGAAATTATAATTTATGATCGTTAACGATTGTCATCGTTATAATTTTAAATGAAGTAGGGTGGAATTTTCAGAAATAAGCTGATGTATTTTTGAAAGTTACAGAATAAAACCGGTGCATGTCAAATGTCAAATGAGTTAAATCTTGCCTTTGGAAGGCGTATAGATATAAAACCACGATTTTCAAAGCTTGAGACGTAATGCACGATAATAGTACATCTCGAAATGTTCAAGTCCTACTTGAAACAAGTTCTTTAACGCTCGATGTCTCGGGGTCGTGATATCAAGATATGGATTCTCCGAGGTAACCGAAAGTTTCCTCTGGAACTTTGTGCGTGCAAAACACGAAACTCTATTATACGCATAAAATAATTATGATACTTCTTCTCTCGCTGCGGCTCGGACAGAGGTAAAAATGTTGCCGGAGGGCGCGCGGAGGCATTAACAAGCTTTCAGCACGCACAAACGGTATTGTTCAGTGTTTATTTCTCTGTGTAAAACATCGCCGGTACATCGATAAATGGCACACCAATTTACCGCATTCGCATTGATTCGCGCACGTTTATGTTGCATCTAGAAAACTGAGGAAGTTGTCGCGAGGTACAATTCGTATCTCGCATCCAACATTCTTTTCGGTCTGTGGAGCAATATCGACCGAATGATGACCAAATTATAATCACTTATCACTCTATCAAAAAGACTTTTACGATATTGTAACAAAGTAACAAATAGATTACATCTAAATTAATTAGAAATAATGGTATGCGTAGTACTGTGGCTCCTTCAACCCTTCACTCCACCTTTCGTGTGTCTCTGCAATATAATATCACCGCGATAAGACAACTCATATCATTCGTAACGCCGATGTCACCTCGGCTAAATTTACACATCGTGTTGGCACTAACTGCCGCCAGCTCACGGTTATTACCGCGATTATGGTTTAAAGCGTGCACACTTACCGCAAGTTGTTCCTTCTCCTTGCGTCCCACGATCTTACAGCGAGGATTTCCGAATCCGTGTAACTGGTTGCACACGCAATCCTGTTCAATTTCGACACTCGTGAGGTCCTCGGCGATCTTCCGAGCGGCAATCTGAGCGAACTGCCGCTTCTGATTCGGTTTAGCGTCCGCAAAATTGTTGGTACTGAACGCCGCTCCGCCAGACTGCAACAGCGTTACATGTGATAACGATCTAACTGCTCTTCGTTATTTATTCTCTATGCATTTAAAGTGTGGTCAATTTCTTTATTAATTCGAAATTATCTCAGTTTCGAGATGCCTAGTTGATATATTACTTTTTTTCTTCGCGTACTTACCGTGACAGCAAAGTTGGCGCACACATCGTCTGTAGAGAGTACCATGTTGCTCTTGAGTTCGGTGTTTCCGGTCAGCGGCTTCTTCTTGCTGTCGCCGAATACGTACACGCTGTCGCTATCGTAACCAACAATGTTCTTCTGCACTTTGCCAGAGACCTGGATGTCATCGGTATGGTACATGTGGTAGTAAGTCAGACCCAAATCTCGGTACACCTTGTGTCCAAGTATAAGCCTCAGTTGTTGCAGCTGGAAAAGCGATTTGGAATCCCTGCGTTAGCGTTGACAAATGAAGAAGTAACAATATTACGCCACGATTCTACAGCAACGCACGGTACTTTTTCACTAAGGATTTTTACAGTTTTCGCCGGCGTCTAATTTTAATTAGTTTCTCGCTTTTGCTTGAAATTACGTTCGAGCATGATGGAGAATAAATTACAGTTGGGCGATGTCGACGAAACCATTCGTAAATTTTTAATATATTCAACGTTGGACGATTATGGACTTGGGCTGGTATTTGTCGTACGACAAATTTTCCAGGTGTGCTGATTGGCTGCAGAATAGAAAAGTTCTTGAGTCTCTAGAAAATTTTATGTTCTGCGACCAATCAACGTACTTAAAAAATGTGTCGTACAATAAATATAATACCAGCCTTAGGGATACAACGGGACCGCGAATAGAAGCTCACCGATAGCGGTAATGGACTCCTCTCGCATCGGGTCGCGAAGACTGCGACGACAGCCCTGACCGCGCCAGGTCTATACGGATAGTTAATGGCTTCCTCGTAGGCATCGGTCAGCCTGAAGGTGCCTAACTCCACGTCTAGTCTTTGCCCAAGGTACGTCATTTGCTGTTCAAGATTACCCTTCTTAGCCTCCTGTGAACAGACGATAGGATCAAGTATCTCCTATATATCGAAAGGATTATATCTCTCAATTTCACATTGTTCAATAGTAGTGTTAAATTTAACTTAATGAGTAGTCGCCTCCTACTCAATCTGCCGTTAATTCAATTAAACAACGGAGTTAAAAGAATCCATAAGATGAGTTGGATAAAAAACTTTACTTGTTTCTTAAACTATGACTGTTAAAATAATAAATTTTGCTACACGCGGTTGTTAGAAGTCACAACATGTTGAGTAGGAGCAGTGGTGACTACTCATTGAGGCAAAGTTGACTCGTTGAGTCGCTATTTAACAGTGCCATATAATTTCGTGAAACGATAGATTACCTCAAACGTAACAATCGGCTCTGGCTTGCCGAATTTCATATTCTTCACCTCGCCCTCGATGTTGGTATCGCCGTTGGTGGTGTAGTGTTGCGGCCATTTCATGTGCTCGGCGAAACCGATTAAGTTGATGCGAACGTCCCTGTTGAGACACAATCAATATGAATGAAAAGTTAAAGAAGAAATATTACAATACGCGACGTTAACGCGAATCGTAATACGAGTCTGTACAGCTTGGAGCGCATTCTGATCTTTCAAACGTCTTCCTGGATATCTTTACAATTGATTTCTGTACTTGTGAAACGTAATTTCGGCACTTTTATAAGAATAACGTTCACATACGTTATGCCCTGTTGCTTGAATTCCTCTCGTAGGTCGGTGACCAACGTTGGAACCAGATCTTTAAAGATTTTCTCGTTGTCCTCTACTTGTTCGACTACCAGAACAATGTCGGCTTGATTTTTCGGGCTTTTAACACTGAAGGTGTCACCAACGTCGATTGATTTCTCGCCAACTTTGCAGTGTGCTAAAATGTTAAAATGTATTTTTCTAAGAATCGGTGTCTCTTTGTCCGTTTTTGAAAACTCGTATTTATTTCAAAAGCACTCATTCTACGTAAGTCTACAACTAACATGAGAAATATTTAATATTCCCATATCGCGTGTG